GAAATGTACCAAAATCGCACAATTTCTTCAATAATATCTCAAACGCGAATAATTCTGGACACTCATGGATTTGAAGGCTCAAATTTCTACGGTGGGCTGTGAACTGATTGACTTTTTCGCTTTACAGTATATACAAATGTAAACTGCTGAAACGTTGTGATGACGATTAAGTAAATTGTTGAAACATAAAATGAAATAAATCCTAACACGACCTTTGGGACTCGAATTTCATGGAAGTACATGTATACCGAACACCAAATTTAAATCCTTTTTGTTTTATCAATCGCTCGAGGAAAATGTAACACCATTCTCATAACACAGTGAAATCAGTTGTTGACATTTAATCAAACATTTAAACAACCGTTTTGTCTTTTCTTAAGTTGTCTTCTTTTTACGAATAGAATCGTTTTGTACAAAATTAACAAGCAAAAGCAATACGCAACGTTAAGTTGAAATGAACAGGTAGTTCGAATTGACTATCAGGTGTATCTATATTCAATCTCACTTTCAATATCGCAGGGGCTGACAAAGCGTCTGGTCGTTTGAAAGGGATAACAAACTGATGCCTTTTCTGCTACAGACTGTGCATGTAATAGATTCCTCGAAAGATAGAAATCTAATCAGAGTAGGCTTTTGCAGCTTTCCTAGCAAAATGATTTCATTGCACTGATGTGTTATTTATGTGTTACATGGATATCCAAACGTTCAACACGAGTGAGTGTAAAAAAATAAGCGTTTGTGTTAAACGCAGACTGGCAATCTAGTGGTAAGGTGCGAATCTACGTGGTATAGTGTTCTTCTAATCGCACCTTTATGCATAATCGTATCTGTTGCACCGTACGTTGCGGGATTATCGAAACGGTGGAAAACAGAAGTGAGTCTTTTCCAGAACTGAATCTCGTGCATTCGCTTTTTTCTACTTCTACGGTAATTCCGCACTGTACACCACATCGGACGTTTTGCAATGTAACCTACACAAATACCACTATCAGAAAAAAATGCATAAAAAAAAATTAAAACGTGCAACACATATTGATATTTAAATTACGTATAATATCAAATTAAAAATAATGTATGTTTTTGTTCGTGTATTATAGAAATCCAACCATCCAACATCATTAACCCCAAAGAGCAGAGCGTAAATAGTGAGAGAAAAAAATATATGTGGTTATCTATGTGTTACATAGAATATTCAACGTGGATGTATGAATAACGTACACAAAAAGCAACTAATTGATACTAAAAGAAAAAAATATGCGCTTTCAAAAACGTTGCTGAAATTCAAGCATTTAAATTTTAACAACGCAAATTGAAAAAACAACAGCAATGCATTGGTATCAAAAATATATTACTCATACTTATTTAAGTTCAAGTGACCAAAGCGGATAGACGTTTCGGGATGTTCCACCCAAACTTCGCTGTCAAAGGAAAGATATAAATGCTTACCTACGTGGTTAATAGAAATCCAAACGTAATATTTTTATATTTCATAAGATATTCAATACACAACAGTGTAAAAATTCAACACAGCGCGAGCATTAGAACGTTGTCATGTTAACGACGACAATGTCCAATATATTACCGTGGTTGGAAGATAGTTTAGTATAGAGTAAACGAGCTATTGAGAATGAGATATATTTGTTGGAATCAAGCGGATTGCCACTCGCACTGTCTGACAGTAAGCGTGGGTGGAATGTCATTTAAGGTATACCGTCCTTTAAATAACATTGCCGTGGCCAGAACTTGGCATCGACTCTTTATACGTATCAATGACAAACACGACGTTAGATTTCGAAATCTATTAATGCGTATGATAGCTAAGAAGATGGACCTCCTAATTTACAATATATCATTAAGGGTTTTTGTCACACTTTCAATCGGTTCGTTCTTATCAGTCCTGAATGATTGGTTGATTACTATCAAAACTTATGCTTCATGAACAGGTGGTTCGAATTGGTTGTCAGGTGTATCTATTATGCAATAACGCTTTATTGGAGGGGCTTACAAAGTCGTTCGGATGGGATAATAAACTGATGTCCTATGTGCTAAAAACTGTGCACGTTAAAGATCCTTCGATTCATGGAAATCTAAAAAGAGTAGGCTTATGCAACTTTCCTAGCAAAATGATCTCATTTCACTCGGCATGTTGTTGCCGTTCTTATTATTCCAAACATATGGAGAGCTGATCCCTGTGTTCTACAGGCTATACACTGCTCGACGCTGTTTGTCTCCATTTCATTTTATTTTACTAACGCTAAGAAATATAGCCATACAAAATATGTTTAATAAACACCTATTCCAGTATGATAATATCCCTTCAACTGATACAGAATCATCTAGTGGTGATATTTTAAATTATATAGGTTAGTTAAGTAGTTTGAACAAAGGATTGTTTGGATACAGCGAGAACGACAATCTCTTAGGCTGGAGATGTCATTGTTACTGTATGTCGGTTAAAAATGAAATAGAAAAAAATACTTCTATAATTGTAACGAATTTTATGTTTTCATAACGACTGAGGAAACGATGCAACCTGAAATGATATTAATTATTTTTGTCAAAAATCCTTAAAAAAAAACTTCAGGTTTCCATCTGGTTGATGTGAACGTGTGACTGGGGCCAATAAACCGCCGCTCTGTGTACTAGAGGGTATGCACGTTAAAAATCCTTCGAAAGTTGAAACAGAAAATATGCAAGCTTATGGTGCTGTCGTGACAACATTTTTCCCATCGCATACTGCACGGGGGTGCCCATCCACATCAGCCAAACAGGTGCACAAAAGTACGACACAGAAAGTCCTTTGCTTGGTCAAACAGGAATTGATCTGATTGTATCTCATGACTGTGACCATTATAGTAGTGGCGGATGTTCGCGCTTACTCTTTTCTAAACACCATTACAATACAATTTTTACGATTTTGCCATTCATTGACGAGATTCTTGTTCCATCTTCCCTTCTTACAGAATTGGAAATTGAAAACGTGGAAATTAATGCCATTGATGTGACATTATCCACAAAAATCTTTTTCAAAAATAATTACCTCCATTCATCTGTTTTCAGTTTTGTCAGAGCAGGATTATCAAGCATGTTCGTTTTACACCAGCAAGAAAACGAAGTAGCGACCGTGGACCGTTATGGCTTTACACCCACTCAGTTGGGTAATTGCGGGTTGGACCATCGGGACATATCCCCTTCAGGCCTGTGAAAGTGCTTTTTTTTAAGTGAATGAAAATTAAGCCCTCTGATTTCATCAAATTTCATCGCAGGCCATCTGAAGTACGTTGGCTTCTAATGGGGCTTCATTTTTGGCCATCCTCGGGCATTATTTTAGATACGCCCCTGCATCCACGGTATCTGTATTTGTAAGGATTTGTTTTCTCTTTTCGTTATTTTTTAAATGTTTGGACCAAAACGTTAGCTGCAGTTTATTGTGCTTTAACATTCCGTTAGCTTTGAAATCAGCAAGAAATTAAGTTATCCACTATAATCGTTAGGAATATGAACATAAATAGGTTTCCCTTCACAATCTGGTTTTTGGTAACTGCTGATAAGTTGGCTGCAGTTTTTTGCTCATTAAGCCTTCGAATCATAATGCTACTGGCTTTGACACCATCAAGAGAATCAAGTAGCGACCTATTGTCATTATGCCTGGATGAGTTGATAGTAATGTGGTTATTGACTGGTGATTCTCTGCTTCATCGTAAATGTCACTATCAATAAACATTGCTGACAGCTGATTGAGAATTATTGATAGATAATCTTATCAAAGGATAACTGTCTTGCCAATATCAAAGAATGCAACCGAGGATTACATGGACACACACAATGTTTTTCAGCGGCGTTTGAGTTGACTACCTCACTGTGGGCTATCCACAGTAATTTGTGCTTAAGCAGAATTGTTTATTTTCTTCTTGGTATGATTTTTTGGTATTTACTGACCTCTAATAGAGAAATATTACCCATACTCAAGTGAGCCAAAAAAAAAGGAAAAGGCGACATTATCTCCTTTATAGCAATAAGTTATCTGTTCTAGCTAGTATCTCTATACAAAAAAACTGTTCACGAGGATCCTGTCTACCCAACAGGTCGCTGCCCCTGTTGGCAATGGTTGTTCTTGAGACAGACTTACAAACGCAGTTTATTGTGGTCGTTTCAAATGGAAGCCATATCGACCAGCAGAGCCATGGGGACGCAGCAAGAACATTTAGATCACGACAATCGTGATTACAGAATAAACCGAAGCCGTGTGGTATGCTTAAGGCTGTAAACGTTCGAGATCTCTCAAAACTATAAAACCTTAATGATTGGGCGATTTGGGGAAGTTACTTTCAACACGAGATTTCATTAACTCGCTAAATTATCTTAAGAGTTTGTCCGCATCCATGTTTGTCCGTTTACTAGTACCCCCAAACAATGTAGAATGGAGCCCACATTATTCTACCAATTGGGGCCGATCAATTGTGCGCTACCCCCGACCCTAAACAAAGTTTTGGTAGCGGACAGACAAAAAGGCTGATCATTTTCAACAAAAACACCTAGCACATCGTCCAAAATACTTTCGGTTGCTTGTTATGACTTATATTCACAAGATACGTTGTGAAATGAATGGAGGTGAATTAGGCTAATGAAGACGGGCAACACCATGCATTGTTGAACGAGGGAAATTTTGCCATGACACTCGATTTCGATTTCCAACTGTCGATGGGATCCTTAACTTGCAGAGCCAATTGCAAATTAGGCCTCGTTTTTATGTCCCATCCGAACTAGTCAGTCCTTCCCGAGACTTGCATCACTGGTAAGGGTAACCGGGTTGAAAATTAAGGTCTTATCTCGACATATGTTGATATTGAAAACTAACTCACTGAGATATCCCAGCTTGTGAAGCATGTCCATGTATAATAAGGCCCTACTACCAAAAGCTACAAATGACCGTAGACCTATTTATAATATTACTGTTGAGAAGGTCATGGTCACATACCTACAGTATATTGTGTAATATACTCAATAGAGGTTGACGTATCTATCGTTGATATTGTTTACATATATACTACACAGGCTCATACACATAGAGGTAAATTTATTTCTTTTCTCGAGGTGTATCTGTGTGCGTGTGCGTTTTTGGAATACGTCCTTGGTGCAAGGAATCTTAACGAGTTTCTAGAAGCAAATATCAATTGATATTTCTGTAGATAAATCGACCAAAGAAAACATCGTCAGAAATCTAGGTCAGCTATATATAATGTTTACAGTGTAATAAGGCTATTGCTCTATTAAGATTTAAGGGGCCGATTTCGGCATAGGTCGAAATCATTCCTTCGGGCATATTTCACCCTTTTTAGAAGTAGCAACAATGAATTACGTTGACCTTATGTATTTCAAATACGCACATAGATGGTTCAATACTGTTTGTTTATATGATTCTGGTCGAAGGGACTGACATGGCACTGACATGGAAAAGGGTCTCGTCGTTTGGATGGATCCTTTTGCTACTTGCTGTGAAGGTTAAAGATCCTCAAGCAATCTGATGAACAAACTGACCATAATGAGTCTTTGAGAGCGCAGGACCTGGTTCACACCTTGATGCTTAAGACAACATTATTCTCTGCCAGTGATGCAGGGGCTCTATTCTATGGCTCTGTGTGCTTCTTAGAAAATCTCGTATAGTTTAATATCTGATATTATCGAAATTACCGCTTGATTTTATAAGGCAGATCGGGGTCAGAAAGTAGGATGTAAATGCATGTATAAAGCAAGCCTTTTCAAATTAAGGTTTATGGGCAAAGTTAATAAAGAGCTTTAATTACTTTCCAAATTAAGGTTTCTAGGCAAATGTAACAAAGAGCTTTAATTGTTCGATATGGAGATATGGTGGAGGTCCTTTCAGTCGTTTTACTCACTTCATGCTCGTCATAGGAGAATACACATTTTGAGTAGGCCTGATGTTTTTGTTAAAGGAACAGATTGATTTGGGTCTTGCTTACATGTATATGTAAAAACTCTTAAGAAATATTAGAAATTTACGAAAATGGCTTAGTTCCTTCAAAAATATTTCAAACTAGAAATTACACTTACAAAGTCTTAAGGAATGACGAGTCGTTTTTTTGACTCTCAAACGCGGGTAATTCTGGATACGCATGAATTTGAAGGCTCAAAATTCGACGTTATTACTGATAAGCTTAGCTAAAAGATTCTTGTGTCTTACATTAAGGTACGATTGATCAAACGGATGGCGAATCTGTCCCTTTTTTCTTAACTTGTTTAATAATGTTAGGAGACTGATAGGATACATGGGCAGTATATGAGACCCTTAATGATCCCCCGTCACTGTCAATGCAGTTTCATTCATTTACTTGCACTGAGATAGATGGTAAATAAGAACCAGAACAAATTACTAGATAAAAAGTTCGTGTTCTTTCCTTTCTAAGCCAGTTATGAGTCAAACTGTATTACATAATGAACTAATACTATAACTTCTTATAACTGTCCGATATCCTTATATCACGATTTTACGTACGTACGTACTGTCCACAAAGATATGAGTACATCAAACATACATCGGAGAACGATTCAAAACAGCTATACATATTTCCATTATTAATGTGTATTAATGTCTACCTTGTACAATTAGAAATCATAGTCTAAAACAGTTCTTCTGAAGCGGGGTCCTTTATGCAACCCAAGTGGTGAGTTCGGAATAAGGGGAAATTAGGTGTGAATTATACACAAAGGAAGGAATTTCTGACAAAAGGGGTTTGAAATTCAGAAAAGCACCAGTTCATGAAACTTTACAAAGAAATCTTCGAAAAATGTCCAAGCATGTTCATTTAGCACCGAAGTGCGTATCTTGACAAAGTCGAAAATTTGTAATAACGGATGAAAAGTTTCGGAATTGTTGCCCTTGTGTGTACACCGATGAGACGATGATAATTTGATGACCTGTTTTTGTGGTTTTGCCTGGACTTAAAAATATTTTAAAGATATTTGGAAATTTATTATTAAGCCACTAAGACATTGTCATCATTTCTGACGGCTGGTTGTGGGCTTGCATGGCAAGCTATACTTCATTTTTTTTTAATTATTTATGTTTTATAGTGCTAGGTGTGAAGGAGACATTTTTCTCAAGAGGGGAATGGGAACTTGGGAACTTTATGTTGTGATAACCTTGAATATCTTAACAAAAAGTTCTTAAAACACCGATAAGTCCCTTCGCAGACATTAATGGAAAAACCCATCTCTGAATGTGAACACATATAATTAAATAATATATATATATCTTAAGATTGGCTGGGCAATTGCTGCGTCAACTAATGGTACACAGATTTTAAATTAGTTTGAAATTATATAAGGGAATTTCTCCTAACTTGTTGGTTGAAGGTTCTATTCTGTGCCCCCTCCACCTATATATTACCTTGTATAATCTCTATCCTTTACCAATAACATTACTTCTACTTTTACAGATACACCAATGCAAATATGATAACGTCACGGTTAATGAGAACTTTGGTTCGTTCCTCGGTATGCAGATTTCAGTCAACCACTGGAGCAGGCGTGGCAGAAAGTGATGATGTTGTGGACAGTCCAAGACCACTATCTGATATGCCCGGTCCCGGTGGAATATACAGAATGCCTTATTTAGGATTGGCTTTTATGTTGAAACCATTCAGTAAGTTCCTTAACCCACAGAAGTGGATTCTTTGAGATCTTCGTAATCGAAGGATTTTTTCGTTAGCTTCTTTTGTAACCCAAACCACGCACATAATTCAAAACTAATATACTCAAAATAGTGCTGAGGGCATTTTAGTTCCAGATGGCTCCTTGTGCAACTAACTAGCCCCAAAGCTCTTGAATTAAATCTCTAACAAGTTCTCTTGATAATGTCATGACTAAGACTGACCAAGGGCTTGCTTCCAGAACACCTGATTAGATCGGAGCTATTAACTCAGTGTTCCTTTACGGTAGTAATTTTCAATAATAAAATATTTTCAATGTTGAAATACTGCTAGATACATCAATTGTAGAGCGATACAGAAATATCAAAACAAAACCTAAAAAAACTTTTTCAGAGTTTAACACTATGTGATCTTCAGACAACTAACTTGTAATGTTTATATTTCATTACTTCATTAGATGCTACCAATATATTTCCAAACTGTTATTTTGGATTGCGTGTTTCGTTTTGCAGTTCGGATCCATAGTACATGAGTTTTTTATTCACTCACACCACAACGTAAAAAAAACATTTCCTTTCTGTTTTACAGCCAATATATCACAGCAAGATTTCCACCTGCTTTTAGACCAGTTACACGATAAATATGGGGAGATAGTTCGAATGAAAGTAGGAAATGGCGATTGGGTTTGTACCGCCGACCCACATGATATCGAAAGAATTTACAAATCTGAAGGGAAATATCCCAAGAGATTCGGTCTACTCATGATAGAACACCATTTTAACAAGACCAAAAAGGAGAAGACTATAGCATTTTTGTAAGTAACATTTAGCAAAAGTTTGGCTTTTCTCTGTACGTCTTTTCTGCACTGTTACTATATAAAGAAGTGGATAACAGCACTGTTTTAGATATAGTCTGCGATATCAGCATCAGCTGAAAGAGGGTGCTGTCATGTACCAACCGACCAACCATTGTTGTAATTCATAGAGTTGCCAATTTATGATCACTTTCATTAGTCCAATACATAGGCCGGTGGGATACAACATTGCATATTGCCATGGCGTGGCGACTTGAATGTGTGTTACTTTCTCATTATTGGTCGGTTTCCATTTGCCATTGATGCTGCTAAGAGATCTATTATGGACAAATCTTCTAATCCCACGGCTTTTTGTGCTTAAGATTTCTCAACAGTCTAATTAAAATTAGACCAAACTTTCGTTCCGTTTGTTTTTATTAACTTTTAATATTTAATTTAATTTTAATTTTAATATAGCCACTGCAGTTAAGGACTAACGACAGCCCTCTTACACGTTTGTCAAATAAACCTTTTGACCTAACTCGATTTCGTCTGCTTTAACCAATCAAATTTCTACCCTTTCCAGTGCAGTGTTTATCAGGTTAGGTCAAAAGGTTAATTTGACGAACGTTCAAAAAGGCTATCGTTAGACCCAAGATGAAAAAATAAAAAAATAAAAGCTTATAAAAAATGTAACGAAAGTTTGGTTAAATTTTGATTAGACTGTATTCCTCAACAATTAAAAGTCGAAAAATACTGACCTATCCGTGTTAAAGATTTCCATCATATTGAAAGCTTCAAGCACAATCTTCATATTAAAAATTATAAATGGAACTAATCCTATTTTCAGACAAGGTCCAAAATGGGCAGAACTGAGGCAGCATATACAGAGAAAATTAGTTCGACCCAAGTCGGCTCTATATTATATTGACGGTCAAGCATCTGTAAGTCGAGACTTTGTGGAAAGACTGAAAACTACCAAACCTGAGGATGTCCGCGATCTGCTCTTTTCATATTCTACTGAAAGTAAGTTGAACTGTGCTCATTAATTTAATCAGAGTTTGGGAACGTTAAAGCGAATATAGTAACAATATTCTAGTTTCTAGATTTCAGAGACAAACTTTTATATATATCTGCAACACTTTACAGAACTAGAATACTACGCTCAATTGAAAACGTCGCAGTCATTACTTATGGTACTTCTTTTTGGAGGAGTCCACTACCATACAACTTTATCTCTCGATTTTGCGATACTTTGGACGAAATTTTGAACAACAGAACTGTCTCACTTGTACAGATTTTTATTTAAACTGTCCATGCGTCATCGATGGCGTTATAATATGGGCATTTTCTATTTACAAGCCAAGAAAGTTCTTCGACCACAGCTCTCTTGACCAAGAACTCATGAAATGGTACATAGCTCATTTTGTGACATTCCACTACATCAATTGTTAATCAAATAAGAATTTTAAAAAATATGATCCATTTTGTAGGTATTGGTGTTGTGTGTTTTAATAAGCGGATGGGATTTATGGACGAAGAAATGGATCCAGAAGTAGCCGACTATTTCGAGAATAATAAACAATTTTTCACCTTGCTGAACAAAGGTATAACTGGGTTCCCTTTTTACAAATATTTTGAGACTCCTATGTACAAAAAAGTGATCAACACGTATGAAAAAACTTACAGGTATGTTAATTTTATTCCTTCACCAATTCAAATCATCTTTTACCCAGTGGGGCTGGTTGAACCATGTTCACGGGCCCAGACCCACTAAAGGCCTCCACACCCAAAACAAATAATACAAAAATATTTAAGAACACGAGGTCATGTCCATAAGTCCATGGGTACACACTCATCTAGTTCAGCCACTGTTTTTACCAAAACAGACTGCAATCTGACACAGTTCAGATGATGACAAACTCATATACAAAGTCGGTAATCTCCAGCATGCCTACAAAGAGATACTGCGGCGATTGCTTCGTTCAGTGACAGCCGATCAACGCATCTGCTCTCAATGCCATTAGCATCAGACAGCTCATTGTAAGAAGCACATCGCAGACCCCCTACTCGACCGACCTGTATCATTTTTTTTCTTCTTCTCCAACAATCTCAAATGTTATCGCAAAACTGCGGAATATTCCAGAAATTTTCATCCAGGAGTGCATGCGTAAGACTACAGGGGAATTACCTCAAAGAGAATAAGTTTGTTGTTTTTATTCGAAATAAATTTAGTGTGACAATTTTTCTGGCACACTTCATACATGTTTAAAAGCCAATTAAATCTATGAGATGAACATGAAATAGTCCAATAACTGGTCTGGATCACTGAAGATGGGAAGAAACGATTTTGAATGAGTAAAAAAACATTATGAACATGTATGTAAAATATTGGATTTCTGTTCTAATTAAGGATTCAATCAACTTCATTCCAGTTTTGGTCGAAAGCAAGTTGAAGAATCTTTGGAACAGACCAAGAAGATGAAAGAAGAAGGAACCTTTGATGCTGAGGAACCCAATTTCATGATGTCCTTACTCGCAGAAGAACGACTGACAACTGATCAGATTTCTGGGATTGTCTTGGACTTACTGATTGGTGGAACCGACTCGGTAACTACTTCTACAATTCCGAGAAGGAGGGATTTAACAGTTCGTCCAAATTTGGGGAAAGGAGGGTTTGTTAGTTCGTCCAAATCATTTCACGAATTTCCAATTATCCACTTTTTTTCGTAGATTTTTTTCGAATCCTTGAAACGAACCACAAAGTAAGCACCCACACAACGTCTTTCAAAGAAGAAAATTGATAATTTGTATGTCTATTGTAGACTGCTAAAACATTAGAAGTAATGTTAGACGTACTGGCTCGTCATCCAGAAGAACAAGAGAAATTATACAAAGAGGTTCATCAATTTCTTGGCGATGATGGAGACCCGACTGCCGAAAACCTGCCCAAAATGAAATACCTCGTCGCCTGCTGCAAAGAATCTATGAGGTAAATTCTAATTTTTTAAGACCTCAAGTTGCATCGATCTCGCTTGATCAGGAGTTTTCAACTTTTTCTTTGTTTTATCCCTTTTAGGATCCTTTCTTTTTATTAATCCTTTCGTGTTTTTCTCTCTGGTTTTCCATGCTACCTTTTTCATGTCGTAGAATATAGCCTGACTCAAAAGAACGACATAAATTTTACTTGTCCAAATATGTTATGCTAGACTACATACAAAGCGCCTTATTACCCTCAAAAATTTCAAAATAGCCTCCTTGGGGGTAATTACACCAAGCATGAAAACCCCTGCATTAGATTGTTCTTGTTATGCTTCAATGTTTATTGGACGATTGTGATGGGCTTGTGGCTTCTATAACTAACGCTTTTAGCAGAATGTAACAGCAACAAAGTTGGTTACTGGTTTTTATATTTTAAATCCTCCCCGCATAAGCCAAGTATTTATTGCTTAATGACCAGACTCCTTTTGTCCGCTACGCGCAATCGAATACGCTCCCGTTAGCGACATGCCAACTACAAATATACGTAGTTAACTTCTCGTTAAGACACAACCCTACCAATGACTGTCGGAAAATACCTTTTCTGGGAATACACTTACGTCATTCTTGCTATTTTAAATCTATACAACATCGCTGAGCACAAAAAATCTCTAAATTTTTTATCAGTCCGGGCTTACCCAACGACGGACAAAAGGAGTCTGGGCTTAACTTAGATTCGGTGACGTGGGTGATAGAAGCACTTTTTTGTGAGAAACCAGGATTGTATCTCATAATATTATAATGACAGGCCTCTGATAATTGGGTATTCATCGTTTTACAGAATGAACTATCCTGTGGTTTCGGGTAGTAACAGAATATTAACAGAAGACATAATTCTCAGTGGTTATCATGTTCCTAAAAATGTAAGGTACAACTTCATTAAGGGCTTTATGAATACACCCCATCATAAAATCAAGATATTAAAGTGATACTACGTCTTGGAATGAACATAAAATTTAAGTTCTCGAAATAGTCAATAAGAGTATATATTCGTCAGTGAACTTACCTGATGTCATAAAATTACAGAATCCCTGTAAAATCTGGAAAATTCATAAGTAATTATTGAAAAACGCTTAATCTTGATATTAAGTTTTTTTTTTCAAAAGTTAATTGCATGTTTATGGATAATTACTAAGTTTTTTGAATTTATCGGATTATATAAGGACTGTTATGTCATTTATGATACCAGTTATATCTACTGGCTCTTATTCGCCAAGTTTAAAATTGTTAAATTTTATGTTAATTCTGAAACGTAGTATTACTTTAAAAGAAAGCTTCGGTTGGAGGTTGGAAGGCTGACATGGAAGATGCGTCTACCGTTCGGATGGGCCAATAAATAAGGGTTCCGGGCAGTCCAGAAGGTGCACAATAAATATCTGTCTTCGGGACCACAAATCTTTTGTTCGTACATAGCTGAGATTTTACTCAAATTTGAAGCAGCTATTACAGGTGCACTACTAATTGTATCTAAAGAAAAAAATATATCAATCTATTCCTTATGGCACAATGTTTGTTTTGCATTATCACATTAATCTTCAAATTTTCGATTCTTTTGATGCAACGTACAAAATGGTACGGGTACACGAACGCCTACTGTCTTGGTCTCGCTTGTGCCCACACATTTATAGTTGTCACCGAACGAGCGTCATCATCCAATCAAATTCATTTTCTTTTCAATTGCATTTTGTCTCCTCTTGTGTCCGCAGCCGGTCGGTGAAACTACTAACGAACTTCGTACTTATATACCATTATACTTATTGCGGAAAGGATGGCTTAAAATCTTATCGACTCACCGACCAAGGGTATTTGAGGGTATTTTTTCCTCAAAATAAAAATATTGAGTTAGAGCCCTTGTACTTGTAGATTCTATTTTCGACCATGACTGCACAAATGTTAATGTATAGGATGTACAGCATACACATGTCATTCTGCATTCGTGATATGCTTCATGTGGGAATAAAATATATCCAACAGAAAATGTAACCAAAAGAATAGAAATTTATGGCGTCTCGGGCAGTGTATTGCAAACCCATTGCCCACACGAAGAGCAGGATTTGATACGTTACTACAATCTACATTTCAGACTCTAATTTTGCTCAATAACCGCAGAATGGTTCTTGATAGAAAGTATGCCAGTGATCCCGACCGGTATATACCAGAACGTTGGTTGCGCGACGCGGAAGGAAACAAGAATGTGAATATCCCCAGTGTTGGAATGATACCTTTCAGCATCGGTGTTAGGAACTGTGTGGGGCGGCGATTTGCAGAGCAAGAAATCTACCTAGCCACAGCCAAGGTATGTAAACAAAGAAAGTAACAAATATATTTTTCAGGGATAACAACTTAAGTTTACAGTTAAGGGTCCTTTCTACGAACTGGTCCTTGGCCAAACCTCTTGGCATTGGTCTTTCCCGGATTACCCATACCTATTTACAGCTGGAACCCACATCCGCCATTTGACGTCAAGTAAGGAACCAACAATCTAACCGACTGTGCTGTAGAACCTCATGAATAATGAAAGTCAGAAACACCTCCCTTTATTTCAGCCTCTGATAGACATTTTGGTAGTATGCATATATTTTGTTGTTCGGTCATACCATCATAATCCCCTGCGATTGAATCAAAGTCACAGTTGATGGATTCGAGGTATAAATGTTAACAAAAAATGAAATAAATAAAATAAAAAGATGTTTAAAACAAAAACGTGGAAAATCCCCATAAAACAGGGTCATATTTTTCAGACCCAACTCAGCCAACAAAATATATTCAGATGCTGCATCATCATGATGAAATCTAAAAGGTCTGTTGTATCAAAATGTTTCGAGATGGATAAACATAAATAATATACTTTACTCTGGTTTGTTTCTTTCAGATTATCCAGAAATTTAAGGTTGGATTGGTTAACCCGGAAGTGAAAAACACTATCACCTATCAGACATTTGCTACACTTCAAGATCCCGCTATGCTGACTTTTACATCGAGACGATAAGATTTTAAGCCATCCTTTCCGCAATAAGTATAATGGTATATAAGTACGAAGTTCGTTAGTAGTTTGACATGGTGAAGATGCCCTTTTTGTTGTACATTCCATTTCAGAATATCTATAAATATGTTGGTTCCCTAAAAAGGGGAAGTCTGAATGATTCCTTCTTCCTGCCTTCTGTGATGTCAATTTTGGTTTTCCATTTTATTGGTAGAGGAGTGGGTTTTTTTTTTCAAAGCAGTAGCTTCAATACGACAATGACACAAAGATTTCAAAAATATTGGCACTAACTCGTATATTTTATCTCAATGTAGTGCGGTGAACTTGATATAGTTTCTTTTGTATGAGATTATATACGGTAAAGATATTGCTAGTTACACGCAAGAATAGACGAGATACGGTGTCCGGTGTCCTTTGTGGTGATTATCCTTATAGAAGAAAATAGTAGAAGCAAATCGTGTCCTAACCGAACCTCGTGTGTTCAATTCTTCTATTTTCTACTGCGCCGTACCTCGACTATTCTGAACTCCTGTTGTCAAAACATAAATCATTTTGGTACTTTGATGTATTTCATCATCTCTATATTTAGTTCAGCAGGTGTTCAATTTCCTTGCTTTGTAAGATGTAAGGTCAGTTGCAGACAGGGGACTCTACAGACAATATGGTTGCAGCACTGCTGTGGTGTTGTTCTCTTGACCTGGTGGCCTGCCGGGAGGTGGCAACTCGGGCGTGAAGATTTCTTGGATGCTGTACTTATAGTTTATATGATATTTAATTGAATTGCATCGAAATTCCATTGTTTGATATAACGTGGATTTTTGTTTGTGGAGTCGACCCTAGCTCTGCAAATACCAAAGTTCATTTGCTGCTACCAATGTTTCGCCTATATGTTGTTTGGATTTAGGTTTTCGTTTTGCAGTTCGGGTCGTTAGCACATGAGTTATGTATTTAACGGTCATGTTGTATCTTAGAAAATTACAAATGTCTGGCGTGTCCTACACACTTTTAACACGTTATGGCGAACATAAAACGCTTTGAGCCAATTTTCCGTCGCAGAAGCAGCTTTCCGGTGTGACGGGGTCATTATAGGAATAAGGACAATATGATTATACTTCATAGTACTAGAAATCAGTACTCAATTATTCCAGGCAAACTGACAGACATATCACTTCTTACTACTTATAGATTTCTTACTCTACTTCAGACAATGTTGGTTTTAAATTATCCAGTCCTAGTCCAACCGGCTGGTAGATTGTGGTACATTGACATTGAGCAATCAAATGACAAATGGTTGATCCCATCTCCAGCATAAGCATTAACTACAGCTTGAAAATCCTTATTAAAAAGCATTAAATTGACAAAAAGGGGGGTCTTTGGATGTAAGACTGGAACCACTGTCAAATATATTCCAGTACATTTGTTGTTTTTATTTGGGGACACTGATAGCGTCAGTTCTTGCAAGATTAATGGTTTTATGATGTCATTTTAGGAAGGTCCTTTAGATATTTTTGCAACTTTGTCATGGAACGTTTAGTTTTAGTACAATTGTGAAAATCTCAGACGCTTGAGTGGAAGTTAATGCTGAGGTAATAACGGTTTTTGTTTTTTGCTCAAAATTTACTTTAACAACTTTATTTTGTGTAATTATTATATTCCTGATGATGGTGTGAGAACCACATTGAAACGTTGAAAGCAATAAATACTGTAGAAGTATCCATCCATAAAATTGACTTGCTTACGTATTAAAACAAATATAGTTTGATCAAGAAGATACATAGATGTAAATAGCATTTTTACTACGTGTTTGATATTTAAAGAACAATCTTGGGACACATATTAAGATAGCCTTTCATAAATATTATTTACAGTCCTGTTATTTTGCTGGTTTTCGCTTGAAATAGGATGGAAGTTTAGCTGTTGGGCTGTTCGTGAGCTGATTATTATCTATTGACTGATTTCATGTTTCATGACCTGGAATAATTTGAGAATGATTGGTTTTTCTAATGGAGTCTGATAATCCATCCATATTTGTTTACTGGATGGCGATCTGGATGAGGTATTTATTAAGATTGAAGAGGGGAAGTGCGGTGCATTTTCGGGAGGTGGTAGGATCGGGAGTACAATTTAAAATTGAGAAGAGGTCGGGTTAAAGGGGAAGGCATTGTTTGTGTGGGAAGGAAGGCAGTTTTGGTTTAATAAGAGGGTATGATAGGAAGAGGGCAGTTTGAGTTTTGGAGGACGACAGTTAGGTTTGAAAACAGTGGAGGCCAGGAAGAGATCATATTAGGCTTGAGAAGATGGCGGGTTTGGATTGAGGGCAGTTTGGGGATATGGCAGGTTGGGGAGGGCGACATTTAGGTTATGACAGGTTAAGGAGGACGAGAATATCTTAGGTTTGGAAGTAGTTCAGGTTGGGGATGGCGAGAGATTTGAGAAAATTGTGGGCACCGAGGTGAGTTTGTGAGGTTTGAGAGAGGATGGCACGAAGGCAGTGTAGGTTCGAGGAGGGAGACAGTTGGGAATAGGTCAAGGTGGGTAGTTTTCAGATAATTGCTGGTGTGGAGGATGGTGTGTTAAGTTTGAGAAGATGGTAGGTTTGGGAATATGGAAGGTGGTTTGAGAAGATGACAGGAGGAAAACATGTTAGGTTCGGATAAGAAGACCGGATTGGGGATGACAGCTAAGGTTGAGAAGATGGCAGGTTAAAAAAGCGGAGGGTATGTTAGGTTTGAGAAGATGGGTAGGGAAAGAGGGTAGTTTAAGTTTTGGAGGAAGGGAAGAATGTAGTCTTGTACTTGAAGACTTGTTTTAGGTTGAGAAGAGCGTTCGGGGCAGATTCAGTTTCTGGTTCATGAAAGCACCGGGTAAGAGGAAGAGAGTATTTGGTTAATGTTTGCCTCGACAGATATAATTATACGGATGGTGGTTTGTGAATGCCGGATTAAATATTTTGGGAAAACTTTTTTAAAACATTTAAATGAAAAAATAGTAGTATTGGCATCTAAAATACATGATGTACAGACTTGCCTGGGATCATCCCGATTGATACAAGTAGTTATCTCCCATGAATTAACTCCGTAATCGTGAAAATAATTCAAAACCTCAAATCAACTGACTACTGGCTATTGTGTATTTCTGGCTTCGTTTCTTATAAGGAAGGTGAATGATACAATTCTTTCCTTTTATACGCCCACATTATAATTTGGTCGTATATTGTCGTCGCCCTGTCCGTCCACAATTGGCTTGTGAACACAATAGAGACTACAGTTTTCATCCAATTTAAATCAAATTTGGTGAGAATATTTATAATGATGAGATCTTGGACAAGTTCGAATTTTGCTATCTTTCGATGAATGGTTTTTGAGTTATTGCCCTTGATTTATGAAAATCGCATCAAAATTTGTTTGTGAACACAATAGAGAGTACAGTTTTCATTCGATTTAAATGAAATTTGTTATGATCATTTATAATGATGAGATCTTAGTGAAGATTGAATTTGACAATTTTTCGATCAACGGAATTTGAGTTATTGCCCTTGACTTAGTAAAAACGCATCAAAATTTGTTGGTGAAAGAGGTGACAGTTTATGTCAGAATTTTATTAAATAATGTATGTTTGTTTAAATCAACAATATCTTGCACAGATTAGATTTTTGGTTCGATTTGACACAGATTGGTGACTGCCCTTGATATACTGAAAATGTATCAGGAAAGTGGGCACTTTTACCATTTAAACCAATAAATAAATTCAAAAAGTAACCCCCACAATAGCCCATTGTATGTGACCATACATGGTAATTCAGATGTCGAGAATTTATCTGTATCTCGAGAGTTGTTCGTTGGATTTAACCATGACTTTTGACGTTGTCAGTTTGTAGTTTAAGAATGTTTTATGTTTGATATTGAATATTTATATGCATGAATAAAATACTAGTCTAAAAGTAAATTAGAAAATCCTTCAAGTAGATTCGCCATTTTCGAGGTTTGATTCGTGTTTAGAATATATGTAACCTCTAACTAGGAATTTCACCATATATTTCTACATATATGTATTTATATATATATTAGTCTTTAGAAAAGACTAGTCGTCTTTTTAACTTTCAAATGTGAATAATATTCTAGACACACTTGGATTTGAAGGTTCAAATTTTGATTGTGAGTTGTGAACACTAAAAAAATTCCGTTTCTGAGACTAATGTGCGATTGTTGAAAAAATGGCGAATCTGTCCCTTTAGTCGTAAAACCCAAGAATTTTATCAAATATAAGGCATCCGCCAATTTACGTAATAAATGATTTCACGATAATAATCATGAGGAAACACTAGTGAATTTATTGACAAGGTCATCTGAAGAATTTTAAGAATGTTCTGCACTACAAATTTATCTATGTGGTTTACACGTATACCTAAATAGATCGCGCCAAATTTAAGCAATAACTCGTTAACGCCTAACTGACTCTTCAAGATAAAGTTAAAAACGGATATAGCTCCTTGTGACTATAATGGCCATTCCGAGGCCTGTCATTCTCGACCACTTGGGACAATATCACTTATCATTGTTCAATTCAAGGTTAAGTACATAAGTAAATTTCGTTATACGGACGCATTTCTTCATTTGTTTTAATTGGGTCAAACAAAAGTCAAATCTGGTAAAAATCTGCTTTGATTATTAGGTTAGTGCCCGTTTAAAAAGTTTCAAAATGGCGGCGAATATGAATGCTAATAAACAAATGTAGACTTTTCACCCATATTTGAACGATGTAGGCATTTTATTGGTTCGATATTGACTTTTTGGGGTTATTGTATCCGTTATATAGCTGATGTTGTCGCTGAACTGTCACTGACATCGAATAATGTGCCTTAAACGCTGAAAATGGAATAAAAATGTCCAATATTATTAATTGGCAGCATTATTCGTCGCAAGTTTGAAAAAATGCTAGGCTCCTGCCTAAAATTCATTGAATACACCAAACAATTGCCAGTTTTGACACCTGTAGTCAAAGATGACTTCGATTTTCACAATTCTGTTTTCATTTTTTTTTCGCGGATGGACGAGAACGCATCTCCTTTTGCCGACAGATGTTTACGGACATCAGGATTCCCGGGGGGTTGGGGCAAAATTCTTCAGTGCAAAGATTCTCGCCTTAAATGTTA